CCAAAATTTTGGATGCTGCTAAATCAGTGCTTGGAAGAAAATTTATCACATTAAATGTTTATATTTGAAAAGAACAAAGGTCTAAAATCAACAATCTAAAGGTCAAGGGTTCAGTTCTCCCTACTGGCCAGCCACTAAAAAAGGAACAAGAACAACAACAAAAAAAAAACCCAGAAACAAAACCAAAAATAAAATAAAATCAATAATCTAAACTCCTACCTTAGGAAACTAGAAAAGGAAGAGAAAAATTAACCCCAAACAAGCAGAAGGAAGGAAATAAAGACAAAACCAGAAAACAATGAAATTGAGAGCAAAAAAACTATGAAGAAAATTAGCTAAACCCAAATCTGATTATTTGAGATCAATAATATTGATAAACCTCTAGCAAGACTCAGGAAGAAAAAAAAAGGGAGAAGACACAAAATACCAGTAGTAAGAATGAAAGAAGGGGTATCACCACAGACCCCATGAACATTTAAAGGATTACTATGAAAAACTGCAAACAAATTCAACAATTTAGGTGAAATAGACAAATTCTTTAAAAACCACAAACTACCAAAACTCATGTAAAAAAGAAATAGATAATGTGAATAATCTTACAACTATTAAGTAAATTGAATTTGTAATTAAAAATCTTTGAAAAAAGAAATCTTCAGGGAGAGACCATTTCACTACCAAACAGTTAAAGATGATGAAATCAAGTATCAGCCTTGGGTCTGGGCTTCAGGGGAAAGACTCTACCCCATCCCTGTTAAGTTCCTGGCTTTGTCCCCTTTTGATCCCCAAACCCAATGTTTCAGGGTCATGCCCCTTTAGAAATTTATAAGCCATGCTACACATCATTCAGTCGATCATACCTATGAACCCATTATATACTTGGGGCCAGGAAAGATGCAAAGGTAAATTAGACTAGATTCTTAATCTCTTGAGAATTTATGAGGGAAGAGAGAATGACAAGATGGCAAAATTAAACCTACTAATAGCGTTTGTAGTGAAAAAACTTACATACAACCAGCTAGGTTCACTCTGCTCACACAACTTTTATTTTATTTATTTATTTATTTTTGTCTTTTTTTTTTTTTTTTTCGTGACCAGCAACGGATCGCAACCCTCAGTGTCGCGCCCGTACCGGACCGGGACTGGCAACGGGATCGCAACCCTCGGTGTTGCCCCCGCTCCTCGCTCAGCCAGTGAGCCGCCGGTCTGCACGTGGGATCCGAACCCTCGGCGGGAGCGCCACCGCGCTTCCCAAGCGGCGCACTGTAGCAGTGTGCCACCGGGCCGGCCCACAATTTTTATTTTTTAAGAAATACTTGATATTCCCTCTCAAGTCTTTACACAATTCCAGATGCAGATGTACACACACACCCACACACCATAGCGTTGAGAGGGATCAATGCTTGTAGAAGTGGACAGAAGAGTATTTGGTCATCTACCATATATTTATTGATCTCCAACTCTAACCCTGAGCCTGTGCTGGGCCTTCCTCAGAGGCTAAGAGTTCACAGATTATCAGGGGACACTTGCATGAAAAGAAATAAGTACCGCACAGAATGAGGGTATAATGGTGGGATTAGGTACATTTGCTATGGGTGCATAGGGTAGGGAGCCACTAATGTTTTTTGAGGTGTAGGAGAGAACTGTGGAAGTCTTCAGAGAAGAGAAGAAATTTGAGCGAGTGCTTTAAAGATAAGGAGTCCCCCAGGTGGACAAGGAGAAAGGTGAGAATGTCCGGCAGGGAGAAGACACGTGAGTAGTTATAAAATAGCATGGTTGTCAGCACAGTAAATTAGTGCTGGGTGGAAGGACCCAAGAAATGAACCTTAGAAAGATAGATCTTGGGCCCTTGCTGAAGGACTGGCCTCATTTACTACACGAGGGTTTATTTCATTATTTTCATTTTTAATTTTTGTTGATGTGTCACATGCACATGGTATAAAATTCAAAAAGTATATAAAGACTATTAAGTCTCCCCCCGCACACACTCCTACCATCCAGTTTCTCTTTCTGAAGTCAGTTGCCAAAGGTGGTTTCCTGGGCATGCTTCCAGAGCTATTTTCTTTGCATTTACAAATATGTATGTGTGTGCCTGTGTATTTTCCACACAAAGGTTGCATGCTACACTTCCTATTCTGCACCCAGCTTTTTTATTTGGATATTTATTTTATTTATTTGGAATATGGATGTACCATAATTGGATCAGTTCTGTACTGGTAGAATTTAGGTAATTTCTAGTCTTTTGCTATTATAAATTAGGCTGCAATGAATATCCTTGTATACAAGTCCATTTGTACATGAAATTATGTTTGTGGGATAAATTCCTAGGAATGTAATTATTGGGTCAAAGAGTATAGGTATTTTTAGTTTTAATAGATAATACTAAGTTGCTGTCCGTAGAGGCTATGCCGATGCCTGTTTCCTCTATCCTGGCCAACAGAAAGTATTATTAAGCCTTTTGCTCTTTTAGGTTAGGGCTTTTAGGCTTTATCCTGTAAGTGACGGTAAGCTAATGAGATTTTTTTTTTTTTTTTTTAAAAGATGACCGGTAAGGGGTTCTTAACCCTTGACTTGGTGTTGTCAGCACCACGCTCACCCGATGAGCTAACCGGCCATCCCTATATAGGATCCGAACCCGGGGCCTTGGTGTTATCAGCACCGCACTCTCCCGAGTGAGCCACGGGCCGGCCCACAACACTGCACTCTAACCAACTGAGCTAAAATATCTATTGATTTTTTTATAGTGAACAATGATAAAATGTTTCTACTCACTCCTCTCCTTTTCCCTGTTCATCTTCTATCTCATATTAGCCTACAGTTTTATTTCTAAGGGGCTATCTTTGTGTGGTTAAATATCCTATCTTTCTGTTACTTGGTTTTTCAGCTTTGAGTAATGTCTTTGGTTCCTGGCTCTTACAGGTGACATAGCATTGTGTAAGGGTAAACTCACTCTATTTGTCATCTTCTTCCCCCTTCCATTATTGTGCTAGTTGTATTGTTTCTGCACTTCAGGACATAAATGTTGACATCTGATCTGCTACTCTAAACCCCACTGAGTTGCAGTCTTGGTTCTACAGTTACATGTTAATATATATGTTAATATAGGCTAAATACATTTAGTGCTTACCATCAATTCTTTTGCTGTCCTTTTCTTAATTATCTTTTGGTTGACTTAAGTTTTGTTTTCTGGTAGCTTCCTCACGCAGGGCTCATGGGAACAATATTCCTTAAGTCCTTGTATATCCGAACACAATTTTCTCAGCTTAGTGATTTTCAGGAGTGTGTTTTTGCTGGTGTTGTCTGAGATCTGCTGCCACCAGGCCATTCCACTGTCCTCGTGCTGTCTCCCTCGGACGTCTCCCCTACATCTTCTGCTTGGTCTCCTCCCAGTCCTCCATAGCCCTAAAGCTCCTGTTGTATGCGAAGCTTATGGATTTATGACCTCAGCACTAGTCCTTTATCTACAGTAACTGTGCTATTGCTGGCATAGGCCAGACCTGCAGAACAGTTTTACTGTTCACCGGCTGAGCTGTTTCACTATTTATTTATTTTGTTTCACTATTCATTTATTTATAGCTTTTGTTCCTCCTCAGCTTCCCAGTGTCTGCATCTGTCTGCTTTTGGCAGCGCTTACCCTTTTGTTTGTTTCTTTCTGAAACTGTAGGTTCTATTTGTCTCCTGTTCCACTAACAATAGAGTTTGCTTTGGTTTTTTTCTTGTTTATTCTGTTGGTTTTGATGATATGAGGAATAAAAGAGGAAATTACTGTCTCATGCCACCATGTTTAGACAGGAAGTCTTTTAATTACTTTTATTTATTTATTTTTTTTAAAAAGACCGGTAAGGGCCGGCCCGGTGGCGCACTCGGTAGAGTGTGGCGCTTGGGAGCGTGGCAGCGCTCCCGCCGAGGGTTCGGATCCCATATAGAGACCGGTCCGCTCACTGGTTGAGCGCAGTGCGGGCGCGACACCGAGGGTTGCGATCCCGTTACCAGTCACGAAAAAAGACAAAAAGGAAAAAAAAAAAAAGACCGGTAAGAGGATCTTAACCCTTGACTTGGTGTTGTCAGCACCACGCTCTCCCAAGTGAGCTAACCGGCCATCCCTATATAGGATCCGAACCCTTGGCCTTGGTGTTATCAGCACCACGCTCTCCCAAGTGAGCCACAGGCCGGCCCTCAATTACTTTTAAATGAGTGGCATTACAGTATAACAGCAGAGAACATGGAATTTGGAGCTAGACACACCTCGTTTCTAATCTAAACACTGCCACTTACTTGATAATGGATAAATCACATCCTTTTCTTATCCGTCATTGTTCTTATATCTAAAATGGGGATAATTCTTATAAGGAGTAAGAAAGATAAAATGTGTAATATATAGGGGCCCAGCGTAGTGCTTTGCAAATCGTAGGTGTTCAAAAAGGTAACATTATACTGTTTCACTGACTTCTTGGCATACGTGCCATTGGTAGTTACTTTAACCCTCTCTGCTGGGATGACATGATGTTATACTGCTCACTCAATGTTGCTGGTGGGTGCTGTTATGGAGGCCATTATCAGGAGACCCTTTGGCATTCTCCACTTTGCTCATCATGCTACCTAGGGCAATTAGTGCCATAAGAGGACAGATCGATTGCTCTGGGAGCCCTGGAGAGATCTCGGACACGCCCAAATGGCAGGGGTAAGGGTTAGATAACCTATGGGAAGGATCTTTCAGGAAAGGCAGGATTTCTTCAGGGAGAGATGGTAAGGGCCAGAGCTGGGCCTAGATATTGGACATTCCCTAGTCCAAATTCTGGGATCAGGGATTGGGGTCGGTGGTCATGGAGCTTTGGGGCTTTGTCATATGTCTGCCTCTCAACCCCAGCAGGCCCAAGAAACCCGGTGGCAGGATCCTTATCAGAACAATTCTAGATGAGGTCAGAGGAGGCTGGGATGCCACACTGGAAAGAGATCCTAATGCACGTGTAATTAAGTCCTTGCTTTTGTCCATGTGTTCTCAGGTCCTGGAGTCCCAGGCCATATCAACCAGCAGCCGCTCTGACGTAGCCTCTGTTGGTTGCAGCACCTCAGGAAGTCGAGGTATCACTGAGCCCATGGATATGGGAACCCAGGAGGATGGAAGAACATCTGCTTACCAGAAAACTGGAAGCAAGAAGAATACACAGGCAGATGGAAAGATGCAGGCGGATGGGAGGACCAAGGGACATAGAACACAAGCAGCCCAGAGGACACAGGCAGATAGGAAGACACAGGATGTTGTGACACAAGAAAGTGAGAGGCGACAGTCAGACAGGAGTTCACAGAAGGGTGTGGTCACACAGGGAAGTGCAAAGACACAGGTAGAAAGGACACAGGCAAATGAGAAGATACAGGAAGACAGGAAGGCGCAGGCAGATGAGAGGACACAGGAAGACAGACAGATACAGGAAGAAAAGGGGACACAGTCGGAGGGGAACATGCCCACAGCCATAAAAAGTCAGTCAGAGCAAGAGTCTGTAACCAGCCTCAGCCCACCATCCAGAGCCCCTGAACTACTACCTTTAGAGAGTCCTAGGTCTCCTCAGATTATGGAATGTTTTACACAGACCCCAGAAGGGTCTTGTGTCCCAGAAAAACCTGGTTTCATGCTCAGATCTGTGAAGGCCGCAGTCACTACTTCCGGGAGCCATGAGGAAACTGTGCTGGGTCCCCTCTCAGAGAACCTTACGCTTCCAGCACAGTTGCCTCCCGAGGGGAAGTTGGAACAGGTGGGAGGAGAGAGATGTCAAAGGCCAGAGGGGTCAGGACCAATCAAGGTCAAGCTGGAGGAAAACCTGTTCCAGTGCCCCAAGGAGGAGCAGCAGCGGGGAGAAGTGCCATGTATGGATCTGGGTGGCTGTCCTCCAGCTGGCCTGACCAATAGCCCACAGGAGGGGTTCCCCAGCACCCCGACTTCTCAACACATGAGCATAGCTGCCTTCCTGCCCTCTGGGGACCAGGCCTTGCTGAGTTCTGTTCCCACACTGCACCTGGGGCCAGGGACCCCCACCCAGAGTCAACAACCAGAAACCAGTTTGGCCACCAACAGTGAGGGGGCCTGCACCCAGGTGCCAGATGTGGAGGGGAGGACTTCAGGCCCCCGGAGCTGTGACCCTGGCCTCATAGATTCCCTGAAGAACTACTTGCTTCTACTGCTAAAGCTATCCAGCACCGAGACGAGTGGAGTGGGGGCAGAGTCCCAGGCGGGGGCTGCCACTGGGGGACTAGAATCCTCGTCCATTCTGGTCCCTACTGTGGAAGTGGCTGGGCTGAGTCCCCGGACGTCACGGCGCATCCTAGAGCGTGTGGAGAACAACCATCTGGTGCAGAGTGCACAAACCCTGCTGCTGAGCCCCTGTACCTCCCGCCGCCTCACTGGCCTCCTGGACCGGGAAGTGCAGGCTGGCTGTCGGGCCCTGGCTGCCACCCAGGGCTCCCGAGGCCCTGGTCCCAGCCCACTTACTGTCCCCGCCATCGTGGTAGGTGAGGAGGGCCCTGGGCTGGCCTCAGAAGGGTCCAGTGAGGATGAGGGAGAGGTTTCCCTTGAGGGGCCTGGACTCCTGGGGGCCTCCCAGGAGGGCAGCTTGGGAAGGACTCTTGGGGAGAAGGGTAGGCAGGCAGCCTCTGGGCAAGGACAGCTCTTTTCAGAGAGCAGAGTCCAGGAACCCTCCCAAGAGGAGGAACCCTCCCCAGGGGAGGCTCTGACAGGTCTCCCTGCAGCTACGCCTGAGGAACTGGCTCTGGGGGCCCGGAGGAAGAGATTTCTCCCTAAAGTCAGAGCAGCAGGAGACGGGGAGGCAACCAAGCCTGAAGAAAGGGAGAGCCCCACCGTTTCCCCCCGCGAGCCCAGGAAGAGCCTGGTACCCGGATCCCCGGGGACTCCAGGGCGGGAGAGACGCTCCCCTACCCAGGGCAGAAAGGTGGGCATGCTGGAGGTGCCACGGGCAGAGGAGCCAGTGGCAGAAGACCTGGGATCCAGCCCCAAGGCCAGTGGTCTGGATGCAGAGCTGGCTCTGGATGAAGGCAAGGAGGAAGCTCTGGCTAAGCCCAGGAAAGCCAAAGACCTGCTAAAAGGTGAGCAGTGGGGAGGGGAGGGGAGAGGCTGCCGAGGAGCCACAGAAAGCGTTGCTGCTGCTGCTGCTGCCACCAGCACCACCCTTCTAGGGATAACACATCCCTACGAGGGATTTACAAATTACCTTTATAAAGGTATTCTTATTTCATGATCTATCTCACAGGCTTTGGAATCAGAAAGGCCTGGTTCTTGTCTTGGCTCTGCCACCCTGTAAGGTGGGGAGGAGAATACTACCCACTTTGTAACATTGTGAGGGTTGAATGGGATAGAACAAATCAAGTACCTAGCACAGGGCCTGGCTTCAATAGCATTCCAGCTCTGTCATCATCATCCCCATAGTCCCCTCTTTACTAACTTGTCCCGTGATTACAGAGTGGTGGGGACAGGACTGAAATGCAGATTTCTAGAGTTACGGGCCTACGAAGTTCCTCTCTTGCTGCTGCTATGTCCTCAACTGTGATGACCTCCGTGGCCTAGAGTGGGGGTGGAGTAGAAGGTTTTTTTTCTAGCTAAAATATGTGCTTTGGGGGCGGGCCAGTTAGCTCAGTTGATTAGAGCATGGTGCTGATAACACCAAGGTCCAGGGTTCAATCCCTGAACCAGCCAGCCACCAAAAAATTAAATAAAAAGTGTGCTTTGGGGGTCAGGGCAGAAACCTGAGATACAGGTGGGAGGCAGCTGGGAGCTATCCAGTGGTAGGTCTGTGTACAGACTTGAATCCTGTTTTCCCTCAGCCTGTTCCACCAAGGACACCCAGGGAAGCAAGTGTTTGACCAGAGAGGGCACAGATGGAGGGGAAATGGCTTCTCCCTCTTACCTGGGCCCCTGCTCTCAGCCCCGCAGGTAATCCGAAAGATTCGTGTGGAGCAGTTTCCCGATGCCTCGGGTAGCCTGAAGCTCTGGTGTCAGTTTTTCAACATTCTCAGTGACTCAGTTTTGACATGGTCCAAGGATCAGCACCCAGTGGGAGAGGTGGGCAGGAGGTAAGCCAGCTGGGTACAGCCTCCACGTGACCTGGCTCCCTAATTACAATAATAATGTTAGGCATTGTCCCAGCATTTTGAATCTATCACCTCATGTAATCCTTACAATAACCCTATAAGGAAGATTCTATTATTCCCATAGTAGAGATGAGAAAATTGAAGCTCAGAGGTCTTTAAGTCACTTGCCCAAAGTCACACAGCTAGTAAGTGGCAGGACTGCAAACCAGATCTGCGTGATCCAGGACCAGCTCTTGACCATGGAGCCTCTCACCACCTCCCTAGAGCTCTAAGAGCCTGGGTTCACAGCAGCCTCTGAGAGTGGGGTCTAAGGACCCTTAGGACTGCAGTTTGGCCCTGTACCCTGATGATGGCCCTCATGAGAAGTGTCTCCACTCTCTGCAGTGCAGGGGATGAGGGGCCAGCGGCCTTGGCCATCGTGCAGGCATCCCCCATAGACTGCGGCATGTACCGGTGCACCATCCACAACGAGCATGGCTCAGCCTTCACTGACTTCTGCCTCAGCCCCGAGGGTGAGTGTACACTCCTGCCTGGGGTCTCTGCCCAGCCTGGCTCCTGAGGGGTGGGCAGCAGTCATCTTTGCAGAGTTGGCACTCTCTGAGCAGACCAGCCTGAAGATAGCTCCTTTTTCTTCTTTTTCTCCACATAGTGTTGTCAGGATTCATCTCCAGAGAAGAAGGTGAAGGTATGGTGCTCTGTGGGGGAGGAGGGTCTGGAAGAGGTAGGGTCTTCAGCCCTACCCCTGCCATCTGCAGGGAGGACCTTCTTTAAGGGCGTGGCATCTGTCCCAAATCCACAAACTGCTCCCCTTTACCTTTTAGTTTAGGAGATGGCTTGGGGAGGTTGATGGAAGAGGACTGCTGTTTCAGAAGACTGTGGGGCAAGAAGTGGCTGAGGGGGCCATTCAATAAGGAGTTAACTCATCAGTTAGTCAATTGAGTCTTTGATCAAGGGCAGCACTGGCCACCTGGCATGTTCTATCCTGTCAGCTACCTACTCAGAGTTTCTCACAGTGGTCTGTGGACCATTAGATTTGGACAGGGGGAGCCTGCTAAAAATGCAGTTTCTTGGCCCCTACTGCAGACATCCTTAATGTCTAGGAAGGACCTAAGAACATTGTATTTTCAGCAGGCTCCCTGAGTTTGATAAGCATTTTAAAGACTCATAAATTAGGGAAAGGGTCTGTACTGCTCCTGCAGGAGACATGCTAAGGCTTGGAACTGTGGAGGCAGCCAGTGATGGAAAGACTTCTAGAGCTTCATTTACTAACAAATGCATTAATTCTTTCATTCATTCACTCATTCATCCAACCTTTTTTTAGTTATCAAAGTTTAATCTATATCAAATATAACCTCACACCTAAAAACTTAAAACTAATTCTTTAATATCTTTAATTTCGTATTTCCCCAGCTGTCTCATATGTGTTGCTTTTGGCTGATGTATCTCTTAAGTCTCTCTTTATATACAACAGTTCCTCCTCTCTCATTTGTTTTCTCTCCTTGCTGTTTACTTGTTGAAGTCACTTGATGTGCAGAATGTCTTACATTCTGGATTTTGTTGATTATATCCCCATTTAACATGTTCCTCCATACATGTGCTTTCTGTATATTGGTCATTAGATTGATGGGTTTGGTCAAATGTCGGTGTGATTTTTTTTCTTTTTTCTTTTTGGCAAGAATAATTCACAGGTGTGCTGTGTATTTCCTTTTGCATCTTATCCAGAGGCACATAATATTGGATGGTTTTACTTTTAGTAATGTTAGATTGGTCATTAGGTTCATTCAGGTATTATCTGCATGATCCATCTCTTGTTAAAGTTAAAAAACTATCTGATACAATCTCTATTGTTATCGCTGGGTTTTAGCAGTCACTGATTATTGCCTAAATCCATTATTTCATTAGGAGATGCAACACGGACATATTTTAATTTTATCATTTCTTCTTCGTTCATTAGATGAAATTTTTCTGTAAAGAAGAAATGATTATTTGATTACCCTGATACATATAGGTCCAACAGAAATGAAGGTTAAATACTTGCTTTTCCCCTTTACTTACTAGATTTCAGAATAATGACTTGGTTCCTGTATTCATCTGTTTCTGTTGCTTATAACAAAATACATGAAACTGGGTAATTTGTAAGAAAATGAAATTTATTGCTTACAGTTTCAGAGGCTGAGAAGTCCAAAGTCCAGGGAACACAGCTGGTGAAGGCCTTGTTGGTGGCGACAGTGACCCAGGGGTCTCACATGGCAGAAAATGGTGGAGCAGAGAGAGACTAACCTCTCACATGCTCTTCTTTTAATGCCCTCAGAAACATGTTCATGACCACCATTTTTAATCCATTCACTATCCCCTGGTTCTACAATCTAATCACCTCTTGAAGGCCCCACCTTTCAATTATCATACTGGGATTTCCCACCCTCAACAGTTACAGTGGGAATTAAGCTTCTTATATATGAACTTTGGGGACATAATTCAGTCAATCCCCAGCAGTACCCTAGCATCCTCCAAAGGTGACCAATGAGGTTTGTTTTTTGTGGGGGAGGAGAGATTGGGTTACCATCAAGAACACATGGATTTTTAATATGTTTGGTATGTTCCATACGTTGCAGTAATTATTCTCTTTGTTGCTAAGATTGTCTCATTTTGGGCTAGTAGGAGTCCCTTCATGTTCGTTCCTGTGTCCTATTGACTAGTCTCCAATAGTTTTTGTTAGCTTCCTTGCTTTCTGGTCTCACAGATGCTTCAGGTCCATCCTGTATACTTCCTGCCTGGAACTGGAATCAGCTGTTTCTTCAGGGAGCTCTGGTTCCTATTAGTGGGAAATGTATTTAGTGATCACAATTTGAGCAATAGGATTACTCACTGCTACTAGATTGGTCCTGTGAACTTTTTGTTTCAGTCAAATGTGTTGGTTGAGATGGAGTCATTTATTCATTTGATCAAAACACCTAATTCTAAAACAAAGTGAGTCTGTATTCTGTATTGATTGCTACTGCCAGAGAAAATCCCTGACTTCCATGGACACTTGTAGAGCACTTAGTATGTGATGGGAACCACATGAGCACTGTTAAATGACAGGGGTTGAATAAGAAACAGTTTCTGCCCCAAGGAGCTCACAGTCTGGTACAGGACTCAAGGTATTCACCCAAAGAGCAGTCATGAGCACATCAGGTTAGCAGGATGGGAGACTGTTCTGGTCTTTTCCTTCCCTATGGACCCCACATTGGTCAGGCAGCAGCTTCTTTTATTTATCTATTTATATTAATATCATTTTTTTACATTCCATGATGTTGTTGCAGAGCAGTTGAGAGGGAGAGGGAGAGCGGAAAGGGGAATGAAATGGGATGGAAGAAGGAGGAAGAAGGAGGGGCAGGATTGAGGCCTGTGGCACCCCCCTTATTCCCACAGAAGAGAACAGGGGGCTTCCAGTGGTGGCTTGGTCATTGCTGGGCTGGGTACAGACATCAGGGGGGTGTGGCAAAAGCCCTCACTCACCCCAACACCCTAGCCCAGGAACCACCCAGGGACCTTCTTGCTGAGGCTCGGTGGTCGTCACTGGGCTGGTTGCTGGTGTCGGGGGCATGCCCATGCCCTTTGTCCCCCACTGTCCCAGCTCCAGGCGGAAGCTTCTTGTTTTCCACATTCCTTCTGTTTTCCTTCAGTTGGAGAAGAGATTGAGATGACCCCCATGGTGTTTGCTAAGGGTCTGGCTGACTCTGGCTGCTGGGGGGACAAGCTCTTTGGGCGACTGGTGAGTGAGGAACTTCGAGGGGGTGCACATGGGTGTGGCCTTCAGAAGGCCTCTCAGGCCAAGGTCATCTACGGGCTGGAACCCATCTTCGAGTCGGGCCGCACATGCATCATCAAAGTATCCAGCCTGCTTGTTTTTGGGCCCAGCAGTGAGACTTCTCTCCTGGGCAGAAACTACGACGTCACCATCCAGGTAATATGTCCCATCCTCATGGCCCATCCCTTTACTCTCTACCACCTTCCTTTCCCACCCGGGATCCTTTTAGGAAACCCAATATGAGGCCATATCAATCTCAACCAGGTGAGGCTCCTAAGAGACCTTGAGAACCCAAGATGTAGCCCAGATTCCAGACACTTGGCCCCAGAGAACTTAAGAGCTTCAAAACCACTTGGGCCATAGTTTTCAAGCTATTTTTGCAGCAGAAACCTTTCCCCTTGCCTCAGACATAATCTTTCGTGGAAGCCTTGTTTGTATGTCATGTGGGTGGAGTAGTTAGTCTTCCCTGCTCTCCACAGAACGGCCCTGTGGCAATGCCACCTATCATTAGGGCTCCAAGAAACACAGTTTGGAAACCACTTTGAAAACTTCAGTTTGAAAAGAAGTCCAAAGCACCTTGTTATACAAATAAGAAAAGTGAGGCATGGAGTAGGGAGCAGGAAGCAGCGAGCCCCACTCCCTCAGGGCTGGAATCCTCTCTGTAGTGCCCTAGCAGGTGCCCTGCCCACTTAGACTTAGGCACGATAGAGAACTGGGGAGCTTCCTTGCTGATCAGATTTGGTTCCCTCTAATCCACAGGGGTGCAAGATCCAGAACATGAGTCGGGAGTACTGTAAAATCTTTGCGGCCGAAGCCCGGGCTGCACCTGGCTTTGGAGAGGTGCCCGAGTAAGTCTACTGGGAGGGAGATGTGCAGTGTGAAGAATTGTTGCCTCGAACTTCCGCAAAGACAGTGATTTCACAGCCTGCCAGGGGCATCCTGAGATGGCTCAAAGTTAACCCCACAAAATACAGAAATAAAGACCTCAAGATTCACTCCCTACTTTAGAAAAGTTTGAGCTCTGGTCATGAGTCTCCTCGCACCCACCTTAATTTCCTACTCTTTAGCCCAGATGTTACTGATTACAGAGTTTGGGCAGAGTAGATTCTGGGTCTCTGTGAAAGTGATAGGGTAGGCAAACTGGTCAGGACTCTTCTGTGGTAGGCAGGAAGGGCCAGTGTGGATTTTCTTAGGGGTCATACATAAATGGTAATTGGTTCCATTCTGAGACTTGAACTCTAACTCCCGCATATCTGGGGTCTGACTGGCATTGAGCCACAATCTGGTTGAATCCTCTTTAGAGGTGTTCCTTTCAATTTGACACATACTGGCCTCACCCAAGCACAGGGTCTGCCTGGGCAACAGCAGGGTTTGCTTGCAGTCCCACTGTCCACAGAGAATGGACAGGACTCTGAACCCAATGGCCTCCATTTCTTTCCTGAACTCAGGATGGAGCTGTCCTCCCTTGCTATCCTTCAGGCTCAGAGCTTAGAATTCCATTCTTGGAAGGGCCCTTCTTGTAGATTCAAGAATGTAGAATTGGGTTGGAGGGGGAGACTCTCCGGGGCCATACTTCCTGCTCACTGCAGGGTGAAACTATGTTTAGGATTATCCCACTGTATCTGATCTACCGGCCTGCAAACAATATCCCATATGCTACCCTGGAGGAGGACCTGGGCAAGCCCCTGGAGTCTTACTGTTCCCGGGAATGGGGCTGTGCTGGGGCTCCAACAGCATCCAGCAGCTCTGAGGCCATACAGAAATGCCAGACCTTCCAGCACTGGCTGTATCAATGGACAAATGGCAGCTTCCTTGTCACAGATTTGGCAGGTATGAGGGTGTGACAAGTGTGCATGTGCATGGGTATGAAAGCATGCAGAAGAACCATAGTGTTTGTTTGATAGTTTACAAAGCACTTCATATGTATTCTCCTTTGCTTTTCACAATAATCTTGTAAAGTAAATTGGACAGGGACCACTTTGCATGCAACCCTAACACACACCAGGGCCTAATGTAGCCCAGTCTATAACTGCAGTTGCAGTTAAAGGAGTGCAGTCCAGGCTTAAAATTAAAAAGGAATTTATCTCAAAGAACATTAAATGGGATCTAATTCAAAACCCACAACCACCCTTTTCAAAATCTCTCTTCTCTCTTCCCTGCAGCTTTGCTTTAGACTTTCTCACTCTCCAGATCTCCCAAACTCTCTTTTCCATCCTAGCACAAGTAGCTTTACTGTTGCTCCTCCTCCGTCCTTGTTTGCTCTTTGTTACATTGTCTTAGTCCATTGGGTGTTGTGATACAGAATGCTTGAGGCTGGGTAATTTATAAAGAGGTTTATTCAGCCACAATTCTGGTGGATGAAAAGCTGAAGATTGGGCAGATGCATCTGGTGAGGACCTCATGCTGCTTCAACTTATGGTGGAAAGTGGAAGCAGAGCAGGTGTGTGCAAAGAGATTAGAAGGCAAGAGAGGAAGCAAGAGAGAAACCGAGCAAGCTAGGCTAGCATTTTTAACAACCCATTTTCCGAGGAACTAATCTATTCCTTTGAGAGCGAGAACTCACTCACCCCCTCAGGTGGGCATTAATCTATTCATGAGGGATCCACCTCCATGACCCAAACACCTCCCACTAGACCCCACCTCCCCACACTGCCATATTAGGTATCAGAATTCAACATGAGTTTTCATGGGGACAAACCACATCCAAACCATAGCATATCTGTGAAACTGCAGGAAAGTGGGGACTACTATATTACCCCATATACTGGGGGGAGGGAGAGCTAGGTAACATATTAAGCCATTGTCATTCAATCTATTTATTAATGTGTGGATTCATGCTTCAATCTATTTATTAATGTGTGGATTCATGCTTCTGTCCTTCCATCTAACTGTTACTAAATATTGGGAAGATTAAAAGGTGAATTAGGAATTGTCATTGTCCTCAGGAAGCTGTGATAAGTAGACCAATTTCTACCATGAAACGATAATACTTTGGAGTGAAAGAAATTTAAGTCTAGGCCCCATTGTTTTCTAGCTGAGTCTCTGTTTTACAAAGAAGAAAACTGAAGGTTAGACAGATTAGATCATTTAATCTTTTTGAGCTTCAGTTTCCTTTCCTTCTCTAGGAATAATATCTTCCCTACCTATCTCTCAGACTTGTTATGAGGATTAAATGAGACTATATTTTTGAGACTATATTTTTGAAAGCCTTCTGCAAACTAAAATTCTGTGCAACTGTGAAGGATCGTCATTACTATAACACAAGATGGAATGTGGTAACTGCTGAAAGAGAAATGACAAAGAAATTAATATTTATTGTGTAACTACTGTGTTTCAGACACCAAGTTAGAGTCCTACACGTTTTGTGATCTTCTCAATACCCTGGTAAAACAGGCATTATCCCCACTTTTACAGTTAGAGATATTCAGTGATTGCCAGGTTCACATAGCTAAGAAGAGATAGAGCTGAAGTATAAATCCAGGTCTGTCTGATTCTAAAGCTCACGTTTATTCTACTCTATCATATGATGGTATTGAACCCTGTTTGTGACAGGCAAGTTCCTAGAAAAATACTCTGGACAGTTTGAAAATGGCGAAAGAGAATCACAAACTTAATGCATGACTGCTGAGATACTGGGTGGACTGACCAGGGTGGAAAAAATTTTCCTCTATCACCATTTTGCCTGGCTCTGTCTTCCAAGGCTGTCTTAACCTGGAAGACCATCTTGGCTTCTTGAGGTACTTGGATGCTGCCTTTCTGAGTAGTGTAGAGCTGGTCTTATCCAGTGTTACATCTCTGCTGGTCCACACCTGATTTATTGTTACATTCTTATCTGCTTTCCTTTGCCCAGATATTCTACTAATGTTAAGAGGGAGAAGAAGGTTTCAGTTCAAAGCCAGAGGCCAGTCCAGTGTGTGACCTGGTCTGCATAGCTGGAAGAGTTTCGGCTCTAGGAGTCAGAAAAACTGAACTTTTACTTTGACTCACAGTGGCAATTGCACATAGTGCTCAACTATTGAATGAGTATGACTTTTGCTCAAGTCATTTAACTCTGAGCCTATCTCCTCACATGTAAAAAGGGAGTGTTATTTACTACTACTAATACAGAGATCTATCTGCACACCACCTGTCAGACAGGTGGGGGTGCCTGAAGATGTGCCTTTGCTGACACCTGGGAAGTTCCTGCCTGAGGTGATGTCCATGCTGGAGACAAGGGGACCCAGAACCAGCACAGACTGGCATTAGCCCCCAACTTTCTCTCTTTTCAGGGGTTGACTGGAAGATGACTGATGTGCGGATTGCTACCAAACTGCGAGGGTGAGTGATTCTTGGTGACAGAATGCCCTCTGAGAGTCTTCTCAGGGTATAAAATGTCCTAAGTACTGGTTCTCCATGCCAGAGGTGATGGGCCTGGGACCAAATGGTCCCAGTTGCACCCATGCCCACGTGGTAACATCCTGGGACCACTGATCCCCACCCACTGTAGTCCTGACCCCCGGTCTGGACTGGCAGCTGTTATTGATGCCCATACATAGAGTCCCCTGCAATTCTGGGCTCTCAGTTCCTCTGCTTCCTTCTCACTTGAGAATGCTCATCAACATGCGGATGAGCAAGGAAGGACCCTGTGGTTCAGTGCTGACCTTGAGTCTGCTCCAATTTATATGAAAAAGGTAAACCATCCTCATATCAATTAATGTCCTACCTGATAAATTCCATGTGTCAGGGTGTAATGAAGCCACAGTTTTAAAATTGAGTTTTGGATGCTGTCACCTGAGTAAGCACCCAGGGGAGACTCCCCACCATGCCCAGATAGGGCATGCAAGACACCCTTACAATGGCTATCCCAAAGTCAGGCCCCCAGGGGACTCTTACTCTGGTGGGTCTCCCACTCAGCTCTTACTGTTTGGCTGCAGATACCAAGGCCTGAAGGAGAGCTGTTTCCCTGCCCTGCTGGACCAGTTTGCCTCCTCCCACCAGTGCAACGCCTATTGTGAGATGCTGGGGCTAAAGCCCCTCAAGGGCCCTGAGGCTGCCCACCCCCAAGCCAAGGCCAAAGGCTCCAAGAGTCCATCTGCTGGCAGGAAGGGACCCCATCTGAGTCCTCAGCCCCAGAAGAAAGGCCTCCCTAGTCCTCAGGGTACCCGGAAAAGTGCCCCAAACTCCAAGGCCACCCCTCAGGCCTCAGAGACAGTCGCTGTGCAGTTATTGGGACAGCCTCCCACCCAAGAGCGGGGCTCCAAGGCTCAGGGTATGCGGTAGCCCCAACAGGAGCTGGGGGCTTCCACTCAGCAGCAGACCAACAAGGAAGCAGCTTGAACTGGATGGAGACTTCCCCAATATGGAACTAACCGGAGAAGGTGCACTGAGGAGGCACCACTTTGGGACCTCTCTGAGCAGCCTCTCGTCAATCAGCTCCTCATCAGATGGCGCTGGTGCATGGCACTCATCCCACTGGCCTCTTCTGGTGCCATCATCACCCAGGGTTCCCAGGCCTCCAGCAGGCCCCACTTCCAAGTGCCTGGCAGCCTAGGCCCTCCTTGAAGTTTACACTCGCCACTGCTGGAGGCTGCCCTGAGTCCTCTGCATGAATTCTGTACCCTGACCCCTTGCCCCAGCCAAACCCTGCAGCAAATGTTGTACTCTGGGGGCATCAGGCCAACATTTACCTGCTTGCCTGTGCTTGGCCCTGATCTCTCCCTGTTCTCAGGGCACCCCAGACTTTCTCTGCTGGATCTGGCCTGGTGACTCTCAGGGTGTCTTCTCCTTCCAGCTACTTTGCCTCATTCATCCCAGCTTATCCTGCAACTAACCTGTCTCTGAGCCCAGATGGGTTTCAGGGCCCTTCCAGAGGCTGTCATGTCCTTGTGCAGTGGTCTTTGATGTTGTGTGTTCATGCTCTTCCTTCCCCATCACTCAGGCACTTCTTTGCCTGCTTCCCATGCTCCCTTGCCATCCCCCGAGCCCCCATCCCTGGCTTTGAGCCCAGTTGCAGCCTGCTCCCTGCCCTTCACTGACTCTTTGCTTGTCCCTTAGCCCAGAGGCTCTCCTAGTCCTCACCCTACACCCTGCCCATCAATACTCCGGTGAGGAGCAGATCCTCTGGCCTCTCACTCCACCCCAGTACACTCATCCCCTACTTCTCCCAGGGTCTTTGCTTATGAGGTGAGAGCTGGCATAAGGGTTGTGTGAGCAACTATAGCCAGAGGGAGGGTGTTGACTTAGAGGGAGCTTGTGCTCATACTGAAAGGAATTGGGGTCACAGTGAATTTCACATCCCTTTCCAACCAGGGATGGAGGGCTGGGACTCTTCCCCATGGGGGAGTACATATGGGTGTTCTAGGGAGGATGCAACCCATTCATGCACTTGAGTGGGGAGGTGTCTCTGTGCCTGGGAATTGGGATCCCTGCCCCCAACCATTTGCTCTTGATCCTGGGGCTCCAGCTCAGGCCCTCATGTATGGGCTCCCAAGGAATTTCTGTGCTAGGCCCAGCACCCTGAGTCCTTCCTGAGCATCCCTTTTTGAAGACGGAGGCAGGGTAGGTCTGGAGCTAGCCTGCTCCCCTTGGAATACAATAAAGGCAGCAACTGTGTATACTGCTTGCCCTCATCTGGTGTGGTTGTAGGTATGTGGAGTCAGGGTCCCCTTTCCCCAGGCAGACTCTCAGAGGGTGTCCTATAGTCCCTGGGCCACTGGAAAAATGAATCTATATTTTGGCTCCTGGACTGAAGTACAGTCTCAGCCTTCTGTGGCCACAGCTAGACAATTTGTGCTTTTGCACAACTGAGCTGAGAGCTTGTGTACCTTAGCAGGGTATCTGGGAACTTACGCTTTTGGAATGAATGGCTCCTTCACATGGAAGAGGAACACAAAGGAAGGAACCCAGGGAGGAAGAACAGAGCTGGGGACTCTGCAGAAACTTTCTGTGTCTCTAGCTGCCTCCACTGCAGCAAGACCAGCCCAGGAGACAACCGGTGTCTGCCTCTCAGCTACTCACCGCTTCCTGCTTCTCAAGCTGCAGAGAAGTTTCTCATTCCCAACCCCATCCCACCCTGGGGCCTTCCCTTACTTGACATTTCTTCCCCTCTCTTTTGACATTTCTGACTTCTCTACCTCCTCGAGCTCAGGTGACTCCCCACTTTTTCCTCTTGCTCCAGTGTGCCCCCAACTCTCCCAGCCTGCATATCCAGATTACTTTGGTAAAATGAGAATTGGAGCATTGTTCATTTATTCATTCACCTATTCACTCATCAGACATTTTCTGAGCACCTACTTTATGCCAGACCCTGGGCTAGCAGCTGTTGGGAGGCAAAGATGTATGAGGCGGTCTCAGGAGAGACTGTCTATCTGCTAAGATTCTTGGGTTTGGGGCAACAGAAATTAACTTGGACCAACTTAAGTAAGGAAAAGTGTTCATGGGAAGGATATTGGGGTAGATCGCAGAACCAAAAGAATAGCAGAATAATTAGCCTTGGGTAGGGTGAGAGCCAGTGTAGTTCCAGGGCTGGCCTCCTAGGAGCTGCTGTGGCTGGCAGATCAGCACCAACTTGCCGTTGGTTCCAGTGGGTCTCCCTCCACTCAAGATTCAAATTCCAGTTAAGAGAATCTGGCTGGAGGTCAGGGCCTTGTAGAGTTGGGGAGAGGCGGTTTTCCAAAGATGGGGCTTCTTGCCAGAATAATGGTGGAGAGTCATAGGGTAAAAGGGATTTGGTAGGAAAAACCAGAAGATACTCCCTGACGTGTGCACAGGCATGCATATGTGTGCACGTGCACACACAGGCTGTTCTTCTCATCTGATGTGTTGTGACTCCCACATACAACCAAAACCAAATTCCTCTCTGCTTAGGGAGTTCAAGGTCTTATCCAATTACCAAGTTCAGGAGTAATGACAGGGCTACTATTCTCCAAAGTCCAGGGTCCCTAGTAATAATCTTCCTCTTTTAGTTTTATTACAATTTCACTTTGAAATTCTGCATCCTGTGTATTAACTAGTAAAATTAACCATACTCAATCAAAATTATATAACCCAGCAAGAAAGGAAGTGTGGGTAAAGGATACAGTCCATTTCTATAATTGGTCATGAGAAGTAGTATTTATGATTAGGGGTTTTGGGCCTGTTGGAGTGACCCAAATCTTCAGTTCTGAAGTCTAGCTTTTTAGTGGTCCTGCCTATATGACAGCCATTTACTACTGGACATGGTGTTAACAGGAAGCACTCCAGGAATCCCCCATGTCCATCCCTGCCTCCTGCCTCCTTTTATGTAGCAGCAGTGTATTTTCCCTTTATAGGTTCATTATCCTAGTTAATCCCATATCCTTTTGTTTGTCACTCAGAGGTATAAGGAGCCTGAAATGGCCAGGTGGCAGCCTCAACTTCCAGTTAGCTGGATCATTACTGTGTCTTTTCAAGTGTGTGTTTCTTCCTTGGGGACTAAAATCTCTGCACCAGCCTGGCCCTAAACCTCAAGTAGGAGAAAGGCATTGAGATGTAGTGAAAGTCTGTCCATCTCCACACTGCTTCCTGGCCTTGTAGGAGAAGTAGCTCCGTGTACTGGTTGCCAGTTCAAAGCTTATGCTGCCTCCTGCAGGCCTGACCCAACCTCTCAAGGTGCCGTGTCTGGTGCCATACCTGAGTCTTTAGCAAACCATTTCACCATACTATCAAGCCAACTCTTTCTGGTTTGTGGGAATCCTGACAAGATGAGTGAATTCCCTACACATCAACCCATTACTTTACTTTTACTATAAGTGTATTCTTTGGCTGAGTGCAGTATGTGAGGGTACACAATGATGTTTATGGTATTTGATAATGCCATGGATATTGACGGTGGAAGAGGCATGATGGATAAGGAAAACAAATTCAAATCTAAACAAGGGCCCAAAATGGTCAAGACAAATTGCTGTCCCCTCTTAGAGCCATAGGTGTAGACTGAGAGAAGCTCAGCAGCATGGCAGGAGTGATCCACACACACTACTTACCTGTGCCTCAGAGCTCTAGCCTGGAGCAATCATATCCATCTGACGATGGTACTTCTGGCCATGCCTTACTTTATGGCTAGGTGAATCAGGTAACACCACTTTGTTAGGAGCAGCATGGCCACCTGTGTCATGGCCAAGCATTCAGGCTCCCCCAGAGACCAGTGGTAAGCCAGAGGGATGTTTCTCAAAAGGATCATGGTTACTTGTTGGCCAGAGCATCACTTGGTTGCAAACCCTGAGTTCCCCTACCATATTTTTCTTACCAGGATTTATCACAAGCTCCATATAGCACTCTGCCACAGGCTCCACATGGCTCCCCAGTATGTCACGGATAGACAGATACCTCAAGCACATTGGATCTGCCAGGTCATGTGGTCTGGTGGCACAACAGTCATACTAAAGGCTTTCCCAGCTGGACAGCCTTAGCTTGCTCTAGGCCCAACCCAAGGCTGGCAGCCTTCTAGGTCAGTCAGTAAATGGGTTGGAGCAAGATGCCCCAAAGTAGCATATCTTGCCTGGAATTGGACCTTAGTGGAAGGGGCTCAAAATCTAGTAATTTTTCCTATATTATGAAGGAAATATTCTGACCTCAACAGACCCCTCAAACCCCAGAACTTTATCAAAGGGGCGGACCTTTGCGTTTTTATGTGACTGATCTCCCACTTCTGACTCACATGTGTGTTACCAAGGCATCTAGGGAGATTGCTGGGCTCCCATCCCTTCTATAGTTCCCAGATAAATGGACACATATCCCTTTGGGGAAGGCTGCAAGAAAGGTTCACATATGCATCTAAGTGTTAAAATAAGGTTTTCCTTCAAAAAAGGTAGTTGACTTCCTCTCCATTTAAGGTCTGGAAATTAAGTGGGAGATCTTGACTTTACCTTGGCAGCTCAGAACAGACCTGTTGGCCCAAGCAGAAGCCTTTAGTTATGGTAATGACTAGGTGATATCTTAGGGACTGTCTGGTCTTTTTCATTCCTGGGACCCAGTGAGTGAGTAACCACAGCTTGAGGTCTGATTTCCATGCCTGTGTCCGTTATGGTGACTACCCTACTCTGTTCTCTTTATCCATCCTGCTGCTGATATCAGCTGAAAGGGAGCTGACTTTCATAGAAGCTCTTCCCAGCAGCATTCCAGGCCTAGAGAGGAAAAGCCCAAGCCTCACCAACTTATTTCTCATGGCAAGGACAGAGCCCATCTTCTGGGTCCTGCCAAAGGACAGTGAGAGGGTAGTGGGCTGGATGCTTGCCAGGGACCCAATAAAGCATTCTTATCTCCTGAAATTTTTGAATTACTGCCTCTGTTGGATTTTTGGTCTTTTGATATAATTTAGCATGTGCCAACATTTAGTCCATGTTTGCATTATCCAAGTCCCCTAAAACAGTAAGAACTGTATATGGCTGTTTGTGTTTCTACACTGAACACAGAATCTCTGGTGAGAGAACATACCAATAAATACAACATAAACCAAAATTATGTTCTGCTCATCTCGGTCAAGTAGACTTTAAAAAGTTCCCATAAATGTACCCTATATTTTTTGACAATGTGTACTTGCTAGTTCATGCAGTTTCTTCTGGGTATAACTCTTCTCTTTCCTCATCTGATTCCACCTCTCATCCCCTGGGCTATGTTGAGTGTGGATTCTGGTTACCAGCAGAACAACAGTGTAGTGTGGGGCAGGAGGGAAACTGTTTGCTTTCTCCTGAAAGAGAGAGGCACAACCCTCTTGGTAAAGGAGGTCAGAAGGAAATGTTTCTGAAGGGTTGTGTTTGTGGTTCTTTATGTCCTTTAAATACTCTCAGATATCACTAATCCAGTTGACAGGATTCCACGCTTTTCTGAGACTGAGTGAGGTTATGAATTCAACTGGTGGTGAATTTAGTAATTCCATAGGGTCAATTTCTGGGTTTGTTTTTAAACAAACTCAGTGACTATAAGCAGGAAGGGGGTTTCTCACAAAAATAAAAAATTCCCATGCCTTGAGATAAAAGGATTTTAATCATTATCCTCTAGTTTTAAAAGGCATCCAATGATGTACAAAGACTGCTACTTTCCCATCTAGAATATGAACAGGAGTTCCAATGCTCTTCACTGTATCTCACCTTCATGACAAATTCCAAAACCGTCCTCGTTTCCTGGGGAAGGGAGACAGTGTCCATATCCTTTAATGTCTTCTCTAGTAAGAATGTCTCCATCAGGGACGGTTCTCTGACTGCCAATTTCAATAGAAACTGGCTCTAACTTAAGTAAGAACAGGAGTTATTAGAAGGATGCCAGGGTAGCCTACTAATCTGAAGGAAGAATTGAGTGACAGGCCCAGGGGAAGACGGCAACCAGGGCAGCTCTGAGGACTTTGGCCTCAGGAACTCACTGACCATCCCCTAAGTGTACCGTTCCGGTGATTCCAGCCCGACTGCCTTTTCTTAATATGTGTCTCCATTCAGGAAAAAGAATCAGATTGGCCTGGCTTGGGTCACGTGTATCCCTGAGGCCAAGGGCACTGTGGGATAGATTGAGGGGTGATTTCTGCCCCTCTCCCACACAAAAAGGGGGTGCATTACTAGAAAAATTGTTAGTACAGCATACAAAGTAAGGGAGTTCTAGCTCATTCTGGACCTAAAGGCAACCCACTGAAAATCTGAAAGACGATTCTTAGCACAAGGGTTATCACCATGGAGACGCTTTCAGGCTGGCCCCAAGAGGCTTTGATGCATGGCACTGACTTGGTGAATCTACCCCAGGGCAGGGTCTAGGTCTCAGTTTTGCAATTTAACACTGTCAGTACCCCTGAGCTGATCAAACTCAGGGAGGCTACCTCAATCTCATTAAACATATAAGAAAATGGAATTTGCACACTAAAAACTCATCTTGTGAAATTTCAATGAGAAATTTAATCATCCAGTAAATTTACCTGACACTTGTGTTTACCTGACAAATAAATTCTTCCCTTCTTCTGAAGGGAATAGTTCAAGGGAAGCCGAATTATCAGAAGGTTTGGTGAGCTTAGAATAAGCCAGACAAACCTCAGTTCAAATCTTGCCTTACTGGCCATGTGAACTTTAGCTTGTTATTTAACTTCTGAACTAAGATGTCTCATTTTTAAAAAAAATCCTTTTACTAATATTTATAGAGTCTTTATAATATATGATAATTATTATTATTATTATTATTTTTAAAGATGACCGGTAAGGGGATCTTAACCCTTGACTTGGTGTTGTCAGCACCATGCTCACCCAGTGAGCTAACCGGCCATCCCTATATAGGATCCGAACCCGTGGCCCTGGTGCTATCAGCACCACACTCTCCCGAGTGAGCCACGGGCTGGCCCAATATATGATAATTATATGTGCTGTGTGTGTAGTAGCAAACAGCCTGGCCGCTTAGCTCAGTTGGTTAGAGAGCAGCCTTATAACATGAAGGTGACGGGTTCCGATCCCCGTACCAGCCAGCCACCAAAAAAAAAAAGTAAAAATATACATTTTTATATTAGTTGGCCGGCCAACCCTGCCATTTTAGGTTTATTGATGTGTTTTTTAATGTTTGTCTCCCCCACTAGACTGTAAGCTTCATGAGGGAGGAGTCTGTGTCTGTTTTGTTCACTATAATACCAAGGTCAAGGGTTCAGATCCCCATACCAGCCAGCTGCCAAACAAACAAAATAACCATAAAAAATATATAATGGCAAATAAGTATTTGCCACTTTAAGTATTAAGTGCTATGAAGCAGAAGAATGGAAGATAATACCAGAAGGGATGGAATCTAATTAGATTGGGGGATCTTAGGCGCCTCTCTGAGGGCTTAGCATTTGAGCTGAGATTGGATGTTGGTCAGAGGAAGGGGAAAGGGAAGAGTGTTTCAGACAGAGGAAACACCAGTATAAGAGTTCTGAGCCTGGTCATTGAGAGGAACGGAATGAAATTTCATGTAGAAAGTACATGGTGAGCAAGAGGACTGCGGTATCTCAATGTGAGGCTTAGAGAGAGGCAGGGCCAGGCCGAGAAGGATATTTGCATGGAATCCTAAGAGCAGTGTGCATCAGTTAGGATCAGCTACAATTGGAAATAACGGAAGCCCCCAAATGACAGTGGTCTTTAACAAAATGAAGGTATATTTCCTCCTCAGGAAAAAGTCTGTAGGCAGTAGGAGATCTGCACCTGGTCCATCCAGGGCTGGCATAGCAGCTCCAGGATGTCGTCAAAACTGAGGTTCTGTCAGCTCGGTGCTCTGCCCTGCCAGGCTGAGCGGTAATACTTGATCCCAAGTGTAACATCAGGAGTAGAAGAACTTAAAATAGTAACACACGTCAAACATCAGAGAGCTAAATCTTCATTGTATATAGCAGAGTCAATAATGTCTAAAGTTCAAAATAAAAATAATTATCCATATATATATTTTTAAATCTATCAATCATCTATTTTATTTAGAGAGGTTAACTACCAGAAGTGAAAAAACAAGAACAGCTTATTTGTGGTTGTCTGGGGATTGGGGCTGGAGGACATGGGGCTGGTCTCTGGTTTTCTGAGCTCAGGCTTCCCTGAGATTGCCCGTGATGAGCTTCCTTTATTTGGACCTTACTTGGAACAGAAAGGCCTACAGAAAGACCCCAACTCGGGCCGGCCCATGGCTCACTCGGGAGAGTGCGGTGCTGATAACACCAAGGCCCCGGGTTCGGATCCCATATAGGGATGGCCGGTTGCTCACTGGGTGAGCGTGGTGCTGACAACACCAAGTCAAGGGTTAAGATCCCCTTACCGGTCATCTTTTAAAAAAAAAAAAAAAAAAGAAAGACCCCAACTCCTTCTGTTCCAGGAACTGCCCGAGGATTATATCCCACTCAACCTGGGCACATTTGAGCTCCATTGTTAAATGTCAATGACAGATAGGAGATTGATGGAATTCAGTGTTTTCAGGTGGCTCTGGTTTTATAGCTGGAGCTACCTCTGGGCAGGAGGCACCCCCTATAGACACCCTGAGGTCTTGGAACCTCACTTCCCTGAGGCACCGTCCTCTGACCTCAGAAACTAATGGGGTTTGGAGATGGCTCTTTCTTATCATTTCCAGAGACACACCACAAACGAAAATGAAGGACCCTCACCCTGGAACTTGAGGCACATACCTGGAAGGTACAGTTACAGTGCGACATGATTATATGGATTTCTGGGTTGAGGTAATGGTCTGGTCAGCTGCTCTGGCCACTGGCTTTTTTTGTGACAGGAGCAATGCATCCAGGACCAGTCTGGACACTGTGGATTCAACCAGTGACAGTTCCGACTTACTTAAATACCCTGGTTTCACACTAAACCTCTTGGTTCCACTAAACCCCTGATAAAGATTCTCATTGGAACAAGGCTGCAGGCAAAGCCAGCGTCCTCCCTGAGGGCCCCCTGAGGAGGGCAAAGACTGCCTCATCATGAGCCCATGCCTGCCATAGTCCACAGAAGCCTGCACCCTGCTTCCAGCTGCCTAGGAGTGAAGGGTGCCAACAGAAGCACTCATCTCTTAACTGTCAGCAGCTGCAGCTGTGTCCTGCCCAGGTCCCCTTTACTGTGGGCACCCATCCCCCAGGCACTGTGAAGTAGCTGTAACAGCTCATAGCTGCCCCTCCTTGGAAGAATTGCCCTGAGCCAAACGGAAGCCACCTCACCTGGGAGGCAACGCCCCCACTCCGCTCCTCCATCCTCGGGCAAGACTGGCACTGGGTACAAAAGGCTGGCCTGGCCTTGCCTCGCCTCACCTCCAACTGGGCCTAACTCTGCGGGAGAGTCTGTGCTCCAGTTTCCCTGTGGGATCAGACTAAAGCCAGGCTCCAGCTCCCACACTCTCGCTTCTCACCTCACTCCTGCTCTCCACCCCTCATCCCCACCTGCCAAGAGCACTCCCCAATAAATCACTGAACAAGAAACCCCATCTCAGGCACCCTGCTGTGTTGGCTCGCCCTGACAGAGAGATTTCACTGGGGCTCTTCTTTTCTTGGAGCAGTTGGTTTCTTATTCAGAATATGGGGCTGACTGCCCAGTGAATAAGCCCCTGCAGAGTTTGTGCTGGGTCTTGCTCGGAAAGTCATTCAGAGACATCATATCCCTGATGACATGGGGCCTGACCAGAGAGCACAATTCGCAGCCACAATGTTCAAGTGTGGGTCCAGAATCCATCCTGTCTTCCACGGAGCGGGTGAAATGGTAACATGGGGCAGACACTTCCAGTGTCAGCTCAGGTCTCCCAAATACCAGCACGTGGTCCCTGGTTCTACCTCAGGTCGGTCTACGTCTCAATAGTTGCTCCATCTATGGTGCTGGCTCCCCCACCACACACTTCTGTGGAGGATAGGTGGGGAAAATGGGGTCAGAGCCTACTTCACTGGGCTTTGTGCGGGTTAATGACAATAGTGCAGGTAAAGCTCTCAGCACAGAGCCTGGCATACACTAAGATCTCAGGTGTGCTGCTGGTGCCATTGCTGTCACGACCTCCTGGAA